CAATCGATTGTCCGTACCCTTTGTTTTGAATTTCATGAGATTTTGTTACGTCCGTGAAGTTGGCCCCCCCACTTTGTCCTATCGAATTCAAACCTTCACCAATATTTTGGAACTAATTTGGAACTATTTGGAATCAACTTTTTATAATTTGGAACTTCACCCTTTTCTCGAAATAAGAGATTTTTGGTTGGGGGGGGCCAACTTCACGCAGCCCCCCCCAATTTGTCCTATCGACTTCAAACCTTTACCAATATTTTGGAACTAATTTGGAACTATTTGGAACCAAGTTTTCATAATTTGGAACTTCACCCTTTTCCCGTAAAAAAAGATTTTAGGTTGGAGGGGAATAACTTCTCGCTGCTCCCCTCACTTTGTCCTATCGACTTCAAACCTTCACCAATATTTTGAATCTTATTTGAAATTAATTAGCATCTAGTTTTCCGAAACATCTATAGTTAATATAGGCTACAGATTTAAAAACAAATAGTAATAATAAATTAAAATTGTGAGATTTGAAATTAGTTAATGCTTAAAAAAGGAAAATTAGTTATCTAAAAGAAAACAAATCTAAAAATTGCAAAGTTGAAATTTCAAAATTATATTTCTTAGTACATACCTAAAATATTGTTTTTAGAAATCTGTTTTTCAATTTGGTAAAAAAATTAATTTGCATTACTAGTATCTATAAATGTTATATAATACCATAAAACATTTTAAAATATATCTTTATGATTAGCAGACAATTTTATTTTACCATTGAAATATAATATTTAAACTCCGGACCATATGTGCTCTTTGTATATTGCTATGCTCATAGGAGGGAGATTTCGGAGTATTTAAAATTAACATTTTGAAACTAGGAAGCATAATTTTTGTAGTTGTCAAATTTTGCTATCCATGTAAATATTTACAACATATAAATAACTATTAGCAACTTAAAAAAGTTATATCCTTCACCCAGGCATTATCAATTCAATGAGAACAATTTTATGGTTCTTCGTAGCTTTATATGGCATTAAGCTTTAACATTACTATTTTAAACTGCCAATATAATTAGAAATTTACGAAAAGTGTATTAAAATTAACTAAATATCTATGAACGTATAAAAATATAACAGTAAATATATTTTAATATTTTCGAACACAAACTACATTGTTTAAGATAAAATTAATATAAATCATATTATTATTGGTTTTCCTTATCTTGTCATATAATTTGATGCTATTTTGAACACAATACATTCAGACTATTATTATTGGACAAGTCCATGAAGTGTTACTTTTATGAATTTATATTTAAATGGTTCAATATACATATAGTCTTATACGGATAATATATTTTCAATACCGAGTTATTTTTATAACTATTACAATTTGCAAGATAGTCCATTCATTTGCAGAACGCTGGTGTAGTAAGATAGACGTTATTTATTTTATTTTAACTATACTTAAGACCTGGGTATAACACATAATTTTTTAAAATGAGCAAAATAAAGGTTAGTATTTATTGTAGTCAAAGTAATGAAATTGTAAACATTAAGTTGTTCTAAATATTAAAATAATTAAGAGGCGGTTTTTGCTAATAAAACTTTTTTTTTTTTTTAAATTATATCAATTTTAATGTTTTTCAATTTTTTTAGTCTATTTTTTTTTTTTTTGGAAAATTGTTATTTACTTGTATCATTATATAGAGTGTCCCTAAACTCAGCGGCATAATATCAAAGCGGGATACATAGAAGATAATCTATTTATATTTTGTTTTCTTTTACAAAATAGAATTTTTGTGTTAAATTGTAATTTGTACAGTCTATACATCTATGTCCGGTCCCGTTTTGAAAATGTTAACAAAGGGCGAACTCGAACCGAACCAAAGCTAATTTTTTTTTTTTAGACCGTATTAGACTAAAAATTTAAACCTAAAATCTTTTTTACGGGAAAAGGGTGAAGTTCCAAATTCTGAAAACTTGGTTCCAAATAGTTCCAAATTAGTTCCAAAATATTGGTAAAGGTTTGAAGT